GGCAAATCCAGGTTAATTAGAATTTTATTTGAATCTCTTAAAAATAATTTAGACTCATTTAGTCAATTAAAGCATGGAAATCATTTTAAATTAATCGAAGATTAAGTAAAAAAAGGTTTTCAATAATAGTACAAGAATTGATAAAAAATAAAAAATAAAAAATAAAAAATAAAAAATTTATTGAAACATATCTAACATAAAACATATGGTTCATCTTTGGGAATTTAATTAAGTTAATTAACAAAATTTTAAAATTAGAGTTAAACAAAACAAAAATATTGCAATCAAATGATAAAGAGAGGGAGAGAAGAAATTGGGCCCATTGCTGCGTTTTGGGCCTCCTTCGGCCCATTTTCGCTCCCAAACACCTGTGTATACAAAAGGTGTATATCGGTGTATATAAGCCATATTTTGATCCGTTTTTGTGTATATCGGGCTGCATACCGAGTGTCTACGGTCTATCTTGACCCCTGCAACCTGCATTTAATTTTTGAACCTATATATCGATATTTTTGCTATGTATACTTGTGTATATACTTGTATACAGCATGTATACTGCCCTCTTTTGGGTTTGTTGAGATCTGAAAATTCAGTTTTTCAGCCCCCTTGCATCTTCACATCCTTCCCTGTACACCTATGGTCTGGCTGACTTAATGACGAAAAGAGGTTTGAGCCTCTATGGCTCGATTCGGGAATGCAAAGGAAAGAAATCCATTATGGACTCGGAGAGGATTCACACAACAAACGAAAAGGCAAAAATTAGCATTCGCATCAAGTAAAACAAATGAAACACAACTTAATTGAAATAAGAGATATTTAAGAAGCTCGAAACAAAAATGCAACCAAACCCAACTATTAGTCCAAAATAGCAAATACTTTAAGAAAGACAAAAGCAAACGGACTTAACAAATGACAAGGATCCTCAATTGAATTTTTTCCTACTTAATAGTGCATGCGTATGTAATTGAACAGATAAAATACGAGTCATTCAAAAGGAGCAACAAGGGTAGATTACATTATAGAGAATAAGTGACCAACAACCAACATTAAATAATGGCAAACCAAAAATATGAGAAAGAGAGCATGTTGCACGATTGACAAATATATATTTTATGCAATAATCAAACTAATTCTACAAATGATTCATTATGCTGGAAGATAGAAATTTTAAAAGACAATAGCCAACCAAGTCATTTTAGAAGGAAACATTGTCACATTCAAAAAACTAAACACGACAAAGGTATTATTAAGGAGTAACAACCAGCTGTGCTAAAACACATATCACACTTCGAGATTCAAGTTGGACCAAGAATATAATTTTAAGTGATCGATATTCCGGACAGCAACCTACTACTGGTCCTAATCCTCCTATTTAGAAAAGAAAAGAGAAGGAAAACAAAGTATAACCTCTCAAGAAAGCTACAAATAACAAGAATGAAAATCGACATATAAGCAAGATGGAAATCTTCAGAAATAAAAGCCATAAAGAAATTAAAGCGAATATTACTAGTTCATAAGAGGCAAGATAGAACAAACAGCGATACAATACGAAAGAAAAGATCTCATACTCTTTTAGATAGGCGGAAACTAGACCATTCGGATGATTATCTTACCCAAACTCAACCAAATACCATAGATAAGAACATGTACTCCTGACGTATATATTTACAAGACCTTAAGAATTTTAAGCAAAGCCAAACTTCAAAGGACCTAAGGGATTAAAATATAAACCGGCCAAGCAGGCCGAGACAGCCGGAAAAGAGAGGTAGTCACGATTTGAGAAAAAAAAAATAATAATGTGGAAATAAACTTCAATCTGGAAAATAGTAGGGTCTCATACTTCATCAACTCAATGGAAAAGAGATATAAAAAAATTGATTCAATGCAGTAAGATGACAATGAAATTGAATAACAACGACAACAAACACCATCTGCACCACATATGATTCGCCATATCAGTTAATCTCGCAATCTTGGGCCTGAGTAAATAGTAACCTTATGCAGTGACAAACTAAGTACAGAACACATGATGCTTGGGGATATGTGAACTATGGGAATCAAGACAAGCGAATATATGATTCAAAACAACATGAAAGTTAAACTTAAGCAACTATAACCCGATTCGAGCGTCTAATCGCGGCCAGACATGAGTAACATAATGATCAGTCAGAAATCCCAATAACATAGGCAATAAGGCATGAACATTCATATTCAGACCAAACTTGAACGGAGCTACAGAATACCCGACAGAGACGAGTTCATCACATAACACTCGGAATCGCAATGAAACATAAACAAAAGAAGAGATATTACCTTTTTTCGGACAGCAAAACTGAGACGAGGACGAGCAGAGGAACGTCGAACTTAACACCACAACAAGAACTTTCGAGAAATCCGGTTAATCTTTTTGCAAACCACAAAGAATCGAGCAGAAAAAAATATATATATCCGAAGTGTATGTTTCTGGGGATCTTTTACAGCTTTGGGAAATTTTTCTATCTGCTTCTCCTAAAAAAAATTTCCTCCCCTTCTCCAATAAGAATAAGACCATTTAAAGGGGAAAAATTCGGGTTCGGATTTTTTTTTTGGGGGGAAAGGGATAAAAAAAATCAAATTCAAAGGCCAAATTCAAAATTCAAAACTCCAAAACCTTTCACCCTTCCGGCTAAACACCTTTTCTTTGAGTTTCTGACTCATTTCGGAAAGGGAAAGTGAGACAGACGCGTGCTTTCTTTCTTGCTGTTGCAACATTAATGGGGATAGGGACGTCTGAAGAAGAAGCCAAGGGAAAGCAGAGTACTGCTCTTTCACGCGTCTGGAATTTCTGTATTTTGACGTTGTAGCTTCTGGGTTTTGCGTCTGGTCACGCGAAGAAGAAGAAAAATGCAGTGGGGTCGGGTCGGCTTGGTGGAATCGGGCTGGGAATTAATTGGTATGCTGATGGTGTATGTTATTAATGTATTGGGCTAAGTTTCCTAAATGTAGAAATGATGGGCTGTCCGAAATTCAGAGAAAAGGGGCCCAACTTGGTCCATAGATATAGTTAAGTGAATTACTAATTGGTCAAATTGAATTAGAAATGGTCAATTGAGATTACAAACTTAACCAAATTGAATTTCATTTGCAAATTCGGCTAAAATCCAAATAAGATGAATCAACATAACTAATTTGGGAGCTTCTCAATCTTAACGAAATAAAATAATTAATTCAACTATAAACCAATTAATAAACTAAACTAATTTTAATAGAATATTTAAAATAAAATCTTTTTGAGATGAATTTCAATTTTTTTATGAAATATACCGATTATATCTATAAAACTATATGAAATATATTTACTATTTACAAATTATGAAAATCGACTAAGATTACTCAAAAGACTTTGAAAAGTATTTGAATTTTATAGAACTAATTATTCCAAATCGTTTGAAAAATTAAGAAGTTCGAAAATTGATTATCATCGGGGAGGGTCAAAATTGGGTGTCAACATCCATTGTATGTGCATATTACATCAATTTTGAAATTGTATATAAGAAATATGAATTATGTAAAATAAAATATTAGATAGATACAACTCCATTTAAATAAGAAAAAGACAATAACATGTTTAGCTTGATCAATAAATGACACTTCCTGTTTTTTCAATAATAATAATAATAATAACACTCCACAACATACTTACTTTATTTATGTGCACCACTTCTACCACAATTATTCCAGAAATTTGAGAATCAAACTAATTTATCCTAAATCAAATTTTAAAAAAAACACTTAAAAAATAATCTGATATGCTACTTCTCTTCTTATTATAATTTAATCATTGTCTTTTTTCTACCTCAATTAATTGTAACTATGAACTTTTACTAAAAATAATTAAGAACACGATGTAATCATCAAAATTGTGAAGCAGTCTAACTTGTTTGTTGTATTAATCTTTTCTTGTTGATTAATCATCTTCCCTCTTAACTGAATGCCTGAATGTTGATATCATTAATGTTTAGGAGAATTATATTATGAATTGTTCGTTTTGTCAAAACATTAATTTGGTAAATTCGCAAACAGTTCATTAAGTTTTGATGCTTTGAGTAAAGATGTTACCCTTTTAGAAATAACGTGAGAATTTTTCATTAAATTTTGATGCTTTGAGTAAAGATGTTACCTTTTTAGAAATAATGTGAGAACTTTTTTCACAAATTTGTGATTAACATTGAGACTCCCGTCCGTCCACTTTTAAATATACAGATATACAAAATATTATTGTTGTTATAACATACTTCTTATTTGTAGTATATATTCTTAAAAGACATTAATCGTTTAACTTGATTCAAGTTAATAAGAGGTTAACCATTTATTTGCAATATATTAACTTAGATATTATTGTAAAAACCTCATTTATTAATATGAATATTTAAGTTGTTTAAATCAAAGTTCTAAAATATTTCTAATAAGAAATAGATAATTCTTCTTTTCTTCTTCTTTTCTATTTAAATTTTATATTTTTTATCTTATAATATTTAATACTATTATTCCAAGCGAAATTAAATCATAAAGTGAGATTAGTTCAACGTCAGCCAACACAATACCCAACGTGAGCTTAATATTGACTATTTTAATAAAAAAGATAGGTGAAAAAAAAATTAAACGTGACAAAAATTGAGACGCATCAATTGAATGCCGATAGAACCTCTCAAGGGGAGGTAACAATTAAGCCATGTAAATGCTTGGTAATTAGTAATCACCTATATATACTGTCAAAGTGATGATCAAGAACAAGAGATTCAGCTAATATGCTGAAGAACTACAGAACTCCATTGAAGGAGTATGAAAGAAAAACGAAAGAGAAACTGATTTGCTTTGTATTGAACTAAAGAAGTAACTATTACAACTAAGTGCATTCTATTTATATAACAACTTACTCTAACAACATAAACAAATTAACTAACTAATGATGATGTGGACATATCAACTAATTAGTTAACTAACTAACTCAATACCCCCCCTCAAGTTGGAGGTGAGACCAACACAACCAACTTGTACAAAACTACTGAGTGTTTGACTCCTGTAAGAGCCTTAGTAAGGATGTCAGCCAGTTGGTCATGAGTTCCAATGTGATGTAGTGATATAAGACCTTCTTGTAACTTAGTTCGCACAAAATGACAATCGATCTCAATGTGTTTGGTCCTTTCGTGAAACACAGGATTTCTGGCAATCTGTAGAGCTGACTGACTGTCACAAAAGATAGGAAAAGGCCTGCTTCAAGGAATAGTAAGTTCTTCAAATAGTCTGTCTAACCAAACCAATTCTCCAACCACCTTTCGAAGGGATCTATATTCAGCCTCAGCTGAGGAAAGAGATATAGTTTCCTGTTTCTTAGATTTCCAGCTTATAGGACTAGAACCAAGTAGCACAATATACCCTGTGATGGACTTTCTGGAATCAGGACAAGCACCCCAATCTGAATCACAAAAAGCCTGTACATTGTAATCATCAGTAGATGTCATAAGCAATCCTAAGGTGGGATCCTTCTTGAGATACCTTAGCATATGGTATGCTGCTTTCATATGTGGTTCTCTGGGGTCTTGCATGAACTGACTAAGGTGTTGAACTCCATAAGCAATATCTAGTCTGGTATTAGTTAAGAAATTAAGTTTCCCAACTAATTTTCTGTATGCACTGGGATCAGAAATGGGCTTCCCCTCATTTGTCTTGAGCTTAACTGTCACATCTAGTGGTGAGGTGAGGCTGGAGAGTTCAGAACAATGGTACTCCTTGAGAAGATCAAGCACACATTTTCTTTGTGAAATAAGCAAACCAGCTTCAGTGTAAAGGATCTCCAACCCCAAGAAATAATGCAGTTTCCCCAAATCTTTAATTCTAAATTGATTTTGGAGAAAGCCTTTGAGAATATCAATTTCTTCAAGATCAGTACCTGTCAATAGGATATCATCCACATATACAGCTATGAAGACAGTAGATGAGCCATTTTTCCTATAAAATAGAGAATAGTCATTTAAGGAATGAGTGTATCATCTGGAACTGAGGGCATCATACAACTTAACATACCATTGCCTACTAGCCTGCTTTAGACCATATAATGACTTATTGAGCTTACAAACTAGTCCTTTAGTTTGAATATCAATAGAGAATAGTCATTTAAGGAATGAGTGTATCCTCTGGAACTGAGGGCATCAGACAACTTAGCATACCATTGCCTACTAGCCTGCTTTAGACCATATAATGACTTATTGAGCTTACAAACTAGTCCTTTAGTCTGAATATCCAAGCCTGGTGGAATATCCATGTAGACCTCTTCATCTAACTCCCCATGGAGAAAGGCATTATTTACATCCAATTGATAAATGTTCCAGTGTTTCTTTATAGCAGTGGCAATTAGAGCTCTCACAGTAGTCATCTTAATAACAGGTGAAAACGTCTCTGTGTAGTCAACTCCATAATGGTGAGTATAACCCTTAACAACCAACCTAGCCTTGTACCTTTCTATGCTACCATCAACTCTGTGTTTAATCTTATATACCCATCTACACCCAATAGCTTTCTTTCCAAGGGGTAGAGGCATGAGATCCCAAGTATCATTATCATGTAGGGCATATAGTTCTTGTGTCATAGTTGCCTGCCATGCAGGATCCATAGCTGCTATATCATATGAGGATGGCTCACTTTCATGTGAGATACTTAATACAAGGGATTGGCTATCAGGATACAGAAGCTTAGAAGCAATATGATGGTGGTTAGAAAATGATGCATGTAGTGAATGAGATGGTAACGTAGTTGTGGAATGAGATATATTGCATAGGTAATCATTTAGATAGCTGGTGTTTTGTGTATTCTGGCAGACTTTCTAACGGATGGAATGTGGTCTGGTGAAGGAGGAACAAATGGTGGTAGTAACTCAGTTGGAACTATAGTGTCTGCATGATCAGGATCACATTGCATATTAGCATTATCAGACTCAGGATTACACTGAATGTTATCAGAGAGAACAATTGTAGGAGTGAGATAATCAAAACCAAGAATATGACCATCTACCACAGGGGAAGATGATTGAGTCATAGAGAAAGGGAAAATTGTCTCATGAAATGTAACATCCCTAGACACAGAAATCTTGTTAGAAGCCAGACTTAGTACTCTATAACCTTTTGTCCCAAATGGATAACCTACAAATACATGTGGGGTTGCTCTTGGATCAAACTTGGTTCTATGGGATTTGGGAATTGTAGGATAGCATAGGCACCCAAAACTTCTCATTTGAGAATATTGAAGTTCTCGGTTATACAGTAAAGAAAAAGGGCATTTGTTCTGAAGAACAACAGATGGAAGTCTGTTAATGATAAAAGTTGATGTGAGTATACATTCTCCCCAATACTTGATAGGTAGTTTGGATTGGAAAATGAGTGCCCTAGCAGTTTCTAGGAGATATTTGTGTTTTCTTTCTACTACACCATTTTGTTGTGGTGTGTAGGGGCAAGATCTTTGGTGAACAATTCCCTTTGATTGAAAGAAGAGGGTGGATTCTTGGTTTACAAACTCTAGTCCATTATCTGTCCTTATGGTCTTTATGGTGGTTTTGAATTGAGTCTCAACCATATTGACAAAAGATTTGATAATGTGTAATGCATTACTCTTGCAGCTTAACAAGTGAGTCCAAGTGGATCTGCTAAAGTCATCAACTAAGGTGATAAAATATCTAAAATTATCATGGGTTGCCATATGATATGGTCCTCATAAGTCCACATGAAGTAGCTAAAAAATCTTGGTAGTTTTATCAGTCCTGGTGGGAAATGGCAACTTATTTTGCCTTGCCATGGGACATATGGTACAGGTAAAGGGCTGCTTAGGTGAGAATTTCACAGGAATTGAGGATATATTCTTCATTTTTGCAAAATGAACATGTCCAAGCCTGTGGTGCCACAAGAGGTTTGTATTGACATTAACTTCACGAGACAGACTAGAAGAATGAGACAGACTAGGTATTGAAACATAATTATTTCCATTATGAGTAATATTCATTACAGATGGAACGATATGACACGACGAAGAAGAAACATTAGACAAAGGGCATTTATAGCCTTTAGCAGTACTATGCAAATTAGCACATTGACTTGAGGTTTTCAAAGAAATGTTGAGGCAGCATTTTTTCAGACAGGTTGAGCAAAGCAGATAAAGTCCATTTTGTACTCTACCAATTTCCAAAGGCCTCTTCATTGAAGGGCCCTGCAGTATACAAGAGGAATTAGAGAAAGAAACAAGACATTTAAGATGAAGTGCTAAAGACTTGATGGAAATCAAGTTATATTTGAAGGATGGAATGAAAAAGACTTTATGCAATGTGATCTTTGATGTAAGGTTTACACTTCCAACTTCAGTTACCTTCACCTTGTATCCATTAGGCAAGCTAACTAACAAAGGATATGGTAAGAAAATGATATCAGAAAGATGGTTCTTATTGTAGGTCATGTGATGTGTGGCCCCCGAGTCTAGTATCCATAAGTCAGTCTTTGATTTGAAGCACCCACATGAAAGTTTGTCAAAATCAACAGATGAGTTACAAGCTATCATACCTGCAAAATTTGCAGCACCACTCATAAGCTGATCTTCAGCAGCTTCTCCTGCAGATCCCAACTGGAAATGTTGTAGCAAATTGAGGAGTTGTCCATACTGATCCTTGGTAAGATTGGGACCAGAATTGGAGGATTCAGTTGTGTTTCATGTGTTAGATTAAATATCTATCCCAAAAGCATTTGTTGCTATCCCTTTTCCCTTAGTAGATCTGTGAAACTGATTATTGTATTATGGCCTCTGATTATTGTTGTACATGTCTTGGTTGTTATATCCATTGTTACCTTGTCCATTCCCAGTGGTACTATCTTGAAGATAACCATGCAACTTGTAGCACCTTTCTTTAGTATGACCTGGTTTCTTACAATGATTGCAGAAGGATTTTGGTTTGCCAGTGTAATTATTTGTGGGAGAGAAATTAGTCCTGAACTGCTGCTGTCTTCCACTTGAAGATCCTGATGAGTTAGCGTGCATAGAAGAATTCACTCATGCCTCTACAAACATTTGGTTATTTGGCTTGAATTCCCTTTGTTTTTCATCCTGAACTAACAAAGCAAAGGCCTGGGCCATAGATGGCAAGGGATTCATCATTAATATACTACCTCTGATTACAGTATACACCTCATTCAATCCCATAAGGAATTGAATGAGTCTTCTATCCTGCTCTGCCTTATGTATGTTCTCTTTTCCCCCCACAGTTGCACACATAACTACATTGATCTTTAGCACTCAGATTGTTCAATTCTTCCCACAACTTCTTCATCCTAGTATAATACACAGTCACGTCAAGCACACCTTGACTCAAATCATTGATTTCCTTTTGGATCTGGAACAACTTAGCCCCATTTGTTTGATCATATCTGTCTTCCAACTCCTTCCACAATTCTAAGGCATCAGAAACATACTCTACACTATCATCAATTTCTTTTCCAAGAGACTTGAGAATCCAAGATGTGACCATATTATCACATCTTTCCCACTGTCGATATTGAGGAGAATTGAGTGCAGGTTTCTTACACTCACCATTAATGAAACCTAACTTGTTCTTCACAGAGAGGGATCTCATTACACTTCTCCTCCAAGATCTATAACCAATTCCATCAAAAACAACCTGAACAAGAGGCAGGCTGGGACCATCAGATGGATGAATGTAAAGAGGATTACTTACATCGATAACATTGCTTCCTGTAGAACTAGTATTGGGATCTGTAACTTCCACCGTGGCTGCAAGATCTGATGAACCTTTAAACAGTTGCAACAGAGAGACAAATTGACACTACCGAAAAACAGAGACGATGAATCTAGTAAGAGCAACGTGGCTTTGATACCAAGTCAAAGTGATGATTAAGAACAAGAGATTCAACTAATATGCTGAAGAACTACAGAACTCCATTGAAGGAGTATGAGAGAAACGAAAGAGAAACTGCTTTGCTTTGTATTGAATTAAAGAAGTAACTATTACAACTAAGTGCATTCTATTTATATAACAACTTACTCTAACAGCATAAACAAATTAACTAACTAATGATGATGTGGACATATCAACTAATTAGTTAACTAACTAACTCAATATATACAACACAAACTATGAACCAAGCCTGATTACATGGTGATAAATTGCCACTTTTAATATTCTGAGATGATGTCACGCGTTTATTTGTTAGGCTTAAGAGTAATATGAATTCAAAAGATTGACGATAAAGATATCTATGACCTTAAAATATAACGAAGATGCACATATCATTTATAATAATTTGGAAGTATATATATTTTTTATATAAATATATTGATATAAATAAACATAGTGTTGGATTAGGAAGGTGATTAAGGCGTCATGCGGAAGTTTACAATTGTAAATAATATGATTGATAAATTAGACGACACATAAAACTATACTAAAAGAAATATATTATTATATGATATGACCAATTGACCTACATAATTTAAAACTAATTAAAAAGAAAAATATTAGAAATTGTTGAGAGAATAAATCTCCCCATAAACAAAAGTCTTTAAACGACTACATTGTGGATGCTATTGTTTTATGCTATGAGAATAGAGATCTTCAATTTATAGATCTCCAAATTTTTCCTCTAAGGAAAGAATAAACCAAATATGGAAGAATATTATATTTTCCTTTCAGAAAAAGTTTAAGCATTTATAGTAATACTTTGACTTTTCTTTAAGAAAAAAATAAACTTCAAACAAGAAAAGAAAATCAAGGCAAAACCTTAACAGATAGAGTAATTACTAATTACTAATTAGGATCAGAGCTTTAGTCTAACATATTTTTAGCGTGCACTTGACTATTGCGTCAAATTCAAAATTATATATAACAAATACGAATTATGTAAAATATCATAGAGATACAACTCCATTTAAATGAGAAAAAAACATCAACATATTTAGTTTGATCAATAAATTACCCTTTCTGATTTTAACAAAAAATAAACATTCACAACGTACTTTATTTATGTGCACAGCTTCTGGCTTCTCAATTATCATATTTTATTTAATTATAAATATAAAAATTAAATAAGCAGTTCTCAATAATCATATTTTATTTTAAATATAAATATAAAAATTAATTTGAAAATACATATTTAAGTAAGTATTCATATCACAATTTCTATTTCTTTATTAGTTGAAATTGTATTATCAGGATTATTGTATAAAAGAAATTTGAGAATCAAAATTAATTTATACTAAATTAAATTAAAAAATTAAAAAAATACTTAAAAACAATTTTGATCAGCTTTTAACCTCCAAACACCTCTAGTCCTATCACAATTAGATTTCTACGGTATAAGTGACTTCCTACTTCTATTAGGCTACTCCTCGTTTTACTATAATCTATTTTTTTTTTATTTTTTTTTATCAATTTTGTTGTCTCCACCAGGTAAGTTGTGAACTTTAATTCAAGGATTGATCATCTTTTTGCTGTGAATGATTAATATTTATATTATGAACTTGCAATATTGTTTGTTCTGTTTGTTTTTTCAGAACACTGAAAACTCTTTCGGATTCCATTAATTGCATGAACTGAACAAACGAATTTTTTCCACAAATTTGTGATTAACTGTCCGTCCAATTTTGGTATAGTTCTATTTATGGGGTTTCAAACGTTTTATATAGTCTCAGATGTTTCCCAATGTTTTATAGGGATAATTTCACTTGATGCCACACATTGCTTTGTGGTAAAGAAAAAAACGAGTGATTATTGAAATTTAAAACTAATTTTGTACTTAGGAGAAAGGTGCATTCAACAATGAGTATCTGAATGCGTGGTGTAGTGATCAATCGAAGGTATTCACCATATATTATAGCGGCGTCAGTTGTTTGAACTACACTCCTGTATCCCGTGCCTGCATTCGTTTATCTTGCAATTATATTTGAATGTCAGATAAATCTCATCTTTCAATTCTTGTTTTTGTATTAGCTCACATGGATATATGTGCATTCTAGGAGAGATATGATTAGAAACGAAGTTATATAGGGAAAGGTGAGAGTGGCCTTCGTGGCGGATAAGATGAGTGAAGTGAAACTGAGATGGTTCGTACATGTGAGGAGAAGGTGGACAGATGTGCCAGTTAGGAGGGTGTAAGAGATTGACTGTAGTAGGAGTTAGGAGAGGTAGAGGTAGGCCGAAAAAGAACCAACGGAAGTGATTACACAAAACATGACACAACTTTGACTTGCTGAGTACATAACCCTAGATAGGAAGGTATGAAGGTCGAAAATTAGGGTAGAAGGTTAGTAGGTAGCAGAGTATGGTTGTCCAATGGGTGGGAGAGGCAGAGGGGTTAGCCACATATCCTCTTCTCCGTATTAGTAGTAATATTTGGTAATAGTGTAGTTTCATATTCTTCTAATTGTTCTACCATCTGTTACTTCATTTTGCTTTGTATCTTCGTATTTTGTTGCCATTTTTTCTTCTTGCAACCGTTATCTACATAACTTTTCTTTTGAGCTAAGGGTCTATAAGGTTCACATATATCTTATCCTCCCCAGACTTCGGTCGTGAAATTACAGTGGGGTATGTTTTTGTTGCACTTAAAGATGCATCCCTTTTCGAGTGCAACGACATGCTTAAAGCACATTACTAGCTTTCTGTTTGTCTTGTAACTGGTTTCTGTCTTGGGAGAGTAAACAAGCCAAGCAGGTGCAATGTCATTAGTATTGACATGGATCTATACATCCACATGCATTTTATTCATCAGAAAGTTGCTCAGCCTGTTGCTCAATGTGATTCAATTATACAAGCAGTTTTCTTATTTTTCATCCCGTGTACCCCCTATATATTGTTCATACTTGTTGGTTTGAATTGAAGGTTACAGTTCTTTTGCCTTAGAACAGGAATTGTGTTATGTACTGACCACTCTAATCATTCAGATATTTGTGTTCGTAATGGACTTTACAAGTAGAGGCAGAGCCTGGTTCGACAAAATTGGCGAAAAGCTGGAAAATCTGTGTTGTGAAGTTGATGCTAGATCTCAGGTATCATTTGTTGGCCTTCCATACATCTTAAGTGCCATTTTATTTCTTTGGCTTTTAGTCTGTTACTTCTTTTAGCTTTCCTTTTTCTCGGTTTTGTTATCATTTGCAAATCAAATTAAAACATGTAGATCGGTACATGTTGGAGGACATTGCAATTGGTGCTTTCATGCACATATATGCACAAAATACACAGATACACATTTCATCCATAATTACCACCTCTTTGGTGTTCTTATTAGTCTTTCTATTCCCGCAAAAATAATGGATGGTAGACTTCAGCTACCATTAATTGTGGTATCATGTATAATCTGCAAACCTCTAGTTTTTTTGTGAGTTCTGGTTATTAAAATTAGGTTTCTGCCAGTTTATGATGTTCCTTGATACATGCTTGTTTAGTTCATTCATTGTGTGTTGGCAGGAACAGATTAATTTTGTTGAAAGCCAATTCCAGATAGCGAGTGCAAGTCTGAAACAATTTTGTGCAGGGGTTATTCAAGAAATACTCCCAGGATCTTTGTCAGCTGTCGAGGAGGAGACCAGTAATTTATCTTCAGAACAAAATAGAGAAGAACAACATCCAGCTTCTGAGCTGTCAAACATCAGTGTGCAAGAAGATAGCAAGGATGAACTTTCCTGTTCAAACTCGTCTTCCCTCAAGCTCGCTGTGGAAGCCATGGAAGGAGTGCATGCTGCTCCATCACTTCAGCCAACAGCAGATAAGGCGATGAAGATGTCTATTGAGGATTGGGAAAATATACTAGGTTTTACTGGTAAAAGTTCAGCACAAGTTGCTTCTACTGAGGAAACTTTAAAAATGACATTATCTTGTGAGGGTGATACAAGAGTTGAAGTTCCTGCCAAATCTTCGACAATTGCATCATCAGTTGAATGCCTAGAATTTGACCCTTCTATGCAAGAGGGGAAAACTATAGATTTCACAGATCATGGTGCTAACACTTTGAATGTTCCATCATTAACTTGTTCAATTTACTCTACTGAGTCACAAGAAAGTGTTCTTGATTTTGACGAAATAAATTCTAATGCAGCACTTCCAGCAGTATCAAATGGTATGTTCTCCCTAGTCTTAAGACTGGTATATCTTCTTGTTGGTTGTTTGTATGATGCTAATTTTCCCCCCTTTTTGTACAACTTTTTCTCCCTCAATCAGAAGAGTCCCATTTGATTTTGTAACCTTTTTAGTTTCTTGTCAATTTTATATGGCAATACTTCCTTGGTAGCTCTGGCTACTTTCCTTTTTTTCTGCTTTTGTGCTGATAATATAATCGTTCTGTAAGTAGTAGCTCAGTTAGAAAGCATTGCTTTGATGGACTAGGTAATTGCTGTATGTAAAACTATTTATCAAAAAAAAGAAGTTGTACAGGACACTACTACATAGAATTGATAATTGATTTATGCTGACCAGACATGACTCTTTAGTGTGTGCGCTTAAGTTCTTTTCTTGGTTAAGCTGTCATTCCTTGTTTGACATGCATAAAGGAGAATTGTAAGATTGAGAAATCATTGGCATCGGCCTTTAACATCTGTGTTTCTAATGGATAAACAATGCAGGAGCGTCTGTGGATCATCTTGTAGATGAACCAGTTATTGACTCGGTTCCTGAAGTGGCATTTGATGGAAACTGTGTTCTGGTGGATAAAGATGATTTTTTTTCAGGCACTGAAATCCATGGAGCTCATATCTCTCACAAGGTCTTGCCTCCTGCCTTCCCCTTGATTTTATATTTTTGCATTGGATGCCACTTTTTCTTCTAACAAATTAATTTGTTTCATATCACCTTCCTTTGTTTGTATGTGTGTAGTCATTTATTGACTTGTGATTGTTTTGCTTTCAGAAAAATATGGCAATGCTAAAGGTGAAACTAGAAAAACAGAGAAACAAGGACGCAACCAAATGTGAGGATCTCAGTGTGGAATTAGAGGAATCAAATGCAGAAGGCAAGGCAATATCTTCTCCAACTGACAAGTTGGAATTGTCACAAGAAGGCTTTTATGAATCAGACTGGGAGATCATCTAAACAGATGAGCTCATCCAGCGACAATCATCTAGACAAATAGGCTTCAAATGAAGCTCCAGGAACAGTACAGAGATTTAGTAATAAGCTCCAAACGGAACTTCCTTAACGATTTTTTGACATTCTTTAGTCAAATCAGATTAATCTGCTTTTTCTGTTTTCTCATTGACTATAGTTCTCGAGATGAATGCTTCATATTTTTTTAGGGTATAAGTAATTTTTTTGCCTCGGTTATTATCTTTTCGTTGTAGGTAAATTTTGTGTCATCATATCGTATTATAACTCATGTTACTGATGGCGAATGAAGCTGTAAACTTGTGGTCAAAACTAGTTCATTTGGCCACCCTCACCATTTTTCTAAAGTTGTAGCAGCATCATTTGATACAATGTCTCATCACAGATTAGTGCCGACAAAATGAGCCCATATTTTGGTAACCTGCTCATATTTTAATGGGTTGGGTGAGTGACTTTTTACATGGGTTGATACCCATATTCAACCCAATAAAAATATGGATAAACTATGGGTAAAATATGGATTAGCCAAATGGGTTAAGCTTCTAACTTTTATTCACTTAAAATTCATGATATCACCAAAAATATTGTAACTTCTCTTCCTTTTTATGTTCTTCTATAAAACTAATTATTTTTCTCTATAATTGAAAAGGTGAAGTTTTTTGGCCCTCCAAAAATATATATTTTAAATGTACATTTCTTTTGTTAATTATAATTATATTTTTTTATTTGTTTAATTTTATATTGAATAATAAATAATAGTGTAAAATAAGCAAATCATGTACTATTGACATTGCTTAAAGTGCATTAAGCATGTTTTAGTTCTAAAATTCAAAAAAATATTTATTTTGAAATTAAAAATATGTTCCCCTTGTTATTACATAAATTTATTTTATATTGAAAAGTTATAGGATTTTTTTTACTTTTATGATTCAATAAAACTAGTTGAAGCATTTTCAACATTTTTCATCTAAAAAAAGACTAAAATATTTTCTCCATGTTGAATTCTTAAGTAGAGTACTATTTACTCATGAAAATATGAGTAAAATATGGATAAACTAGTATTTTACCCAACTCATTTGTTACCCAATCCATTTTTACCCATATCAAATAAGGGCGGATTGAATTATTACCCATTTTATGTTGACCCATTTTCAACCCGCCCAATTTAATCCAACCCACCCATTTGCCACCACTATCGCAAATGTTTGTATCTCCAAATTCCCTAATTTTGACCATTCTTACCCATGAAGAATCAGTGAAGGTGTGCTTATATGAATGTGGATACTTTTTTAGCTACAAATAACGACTACGCTTCAGTTGAAGTGACTGTGTGAATTCTCACTTCTTTTTTAGCTAACATATGTATCTAATTCGATACAATTCTTAGGGCCCGTTTGGCTATGCGATATGGTATCATGATATGGAATCATGAGATGAAATTGAAGTTTTGTTTGGACATGTGATCGATATGGAATTTTTGTATTGTATATTTTCTCATAAACATAAAAATCTCATAAGTTGTAATACTATTAAAATAGGCTCAATTGTTTAGTCAATCTTATCAAATAAATAAAAATTTATAAAATCGCATAATAAATTATTACAAAGCTATTTGTTCTCCACTTAAGTAATTGTTTCATCTAACTTTAATTTAATAAAAAATTGAACATAAATTGTAGTGTACTAGTCTTTATTATAATCCTCCCACATAGTACGGATAATTTTCTCACGTTGAACTTGCATTTCTCGATCATGTGACCGAGAAGACGAACCAACATTATTACTTTGAGCCATTTGTTGGTCAATATCATCCGCAACTATATTTTCATGCTCTTAGACCATAAATATTTCATCAGTACTTTTGTATTCTCGCAAATAATTATGTAACACTACACAAGCTATGACAATTTTCACTTGTGTATCAATATCATAATGGTTCATGCCTTGTTTCAATATTCTAAATCTATTTAATTTTCCGAGCTCCAAAAGTTCGTTCAATCACATTGCGCAGAGATGAATGCCTATAATTAAATAGTTCTTTGGCATTTTGAGGCTCACTTTTACTTCCTCGGTAATCTTGCAAATGATAGCGTAGTCCTTTGTATGGAGCTAAAAATCCTTTTGTGTTTCGAAAACCAGCATCAACAACATAATATTTATCTACCAAAAAATATTTTATAAAGAATTACTAAAAGCATATGTGACGTAAATGAGACAACTTTGTGTAAATAAATAATATTTATTCTAAGGATGTAATTTAAAGTTACCATGTGAAGGAAATGGAAATTGTGGCGTTGGTTCAACAAGTGCATTCTCAAGTACTTTACAATCATGTGCAGTACCACTACTAAAAAACTGCTTAAAAACGACGGAAGAAAAATCGACGGACAGCGTCGCTCCAAAAAAGCGACGGACTAAGAGATGTCGTCCGTCACTTTTTAATTAAAATAATTATTTTTAAAACTACTTTACAAAAAGCGACGGACTGCATCTCTTAGTCTGTCGCTTTTTTACGGATTTTTGCACTAAATATATATATAATTAATAATAATTTATTTAATATATATAGAGACGTCGTCCGTCGCTTTTGAACATAAAATAAATTGGAAGCATTATAGAATGCACTTCATAAAAATAATGTTTGTAAGAGTAATAAAAATAGTGCTTCCAACACAATGCAAAGTCATAAAATAAATACTATCTTTTTAAACAAAGTTGATAGGAAATATGTAACTAAATACTAATAACGTACACATAAAATATAAATGTGCACTTATTAAGGCCATAAAATAAATTTATTACTCAATAATCGGCTGGTGTGAGTTAAAGTGACTATATGTTGGTGAGAATAATAAATTTTAGGTCGGTGAAAATAATAAATTTTAAAAAGTAATGATGTGATTATAAATTTTATTTACATATGAAATAAATGGTTAGTAGATATAAATGTGGGGTTGTTTTAAAAAAACATAAGCTCATGGATCAATTTTTGTATTAAAATATCTGAATTCCCATATAATTCCATATCATGATTTTTGGAGAATATGGAATCACATCTCATGATATGGAATAATGAGATGGAATCAGCGTAAAATCGCACGTCCAAATGTTGATTCCATCTCACGATACCATATCGTGATATGATATCGCATGGCCAAACGCCTACTTTGTGTCATACTTGCTCATTTTATATTATACACCAAAATAAATCATTTTCTCTTCCCAATTACTAATTTGCTTTAATAATCAATCTCTCTATTCAACTTCCCATTATATGCATTCTCCTTGCCCCTTCCATAATTTCAATTAATATCTGTTTAGCTCCTTGAATATCAATCCACTCTGAGTTTTTTTTTTTAATATTGTAATATATTCATTTTGTTTTCAAATTATATGTTTTATTTATAATTAAAATGATGATATCTTTTAATTTAATTCCTAAAGAGCAATATTTTTGGTGATTTTATGAAATACAAATATATATACCATACATATTTCACTCTCTCGTTTTAAAAAAAGAAGAAGATATATTCATTTGTTGGCAAAAGTGAAACAAAAAAGGAAGAGAAAGGTAGAAAAATAACTAGAGGAAGAGAATTGTCTGTTTCCAGGAGAGTCCATTTATGGTATCTTTGAATGTGTAAGAATTGGGTATTGCATTAGTAAAAGCTAAGGAGAGTTGGGGTTTGTGTATGGTATAAATAGAGAGCGACGAGTATGGCGGACAGTTATTTGGGACCCTCTCCACTTCTTAAGCCCTCTTCTTTATATACCTTTCCTTTCACTTTTTCCCCATTTTCAGGTTCCCCCAGATCTCTTTCTTTCTCCTTCATGGCCTCTAATTGCTCTTCTGCTCGTCACTGTAATTGCTCCTCTACTAGTTCCTTCACTACCCATCAACCTTCTATTCTTGTTTTCTCAGGTACCTATGTTGCGCTTTTTCCGTTTTTTGTTGGCTAGATTGTTGATTTACTTGTTTAATTGATTGGTGGGGTATGTAAATGTTGAATATTGAAAAGTACCCACAAACCAAAAAGCTCATTTTTATTGTTACTGAGATGAGAATTGGGTATTCTGAATGCTAGTGTTTTTGGGTACTAATTCAGAGGAATGAAGCTTTATGATGTTACTTGCAATATCAGTTTATTTCTCAATAACATTTTGGTTGTCAGTGCCAAATGTGGGTAGAGAACGTAGGCAGTGTTTAGAATTGGCATTTTGTTTTGAAGTTTAAAGGAATTGGATTTTGTCCGGTTAATATGCAATTTCATCTAAAATAATTGGATCATTCCCAGTTCAGCATTTATTTTCTGCTTTATTTTTTTGACATAAAATGTTTGTATATCAACATAGGAAGTAGATAAAGTACCAGAAAGGTCATTTGGTGGGTGTTGGGGATAAGAAAGGAATTCATATTGAATATATAAATGCCATAAAAATATGTATGAAGGAGCTGTGGCTAGTGCAAGAATTATAGTTGGAGACACAGAGGAGTTTCCCATAATCGTGGGTTTAAACCAGGTATCAGCATTGACACCATACTTGTAATCTTATAGATGAACTAACTAATACAATACAAGATGAGGTCCTATGGCGTATATTATTTGCTGATGATATTGTGCTAATTGATGACACCAATGAAGGTGTCAACCAAAGGTTTGAACTATGGATAAATACTTTAGAGAGCAAGGGTTTTAGGATAAGTAGAAGTAAGACTAACCATATGCATTAGAAGTTTAGTTGGCATAAGAAGAATGAGGTTGAGATAAGAATATGCTGGATTGTGCTGCCTTAATGCAAACAATTAAGATTTTAAAGCTTGATCTTCCAAGGTAATGGTGTCATAGATGAAGATGTTACAAATAGAATAGAAATAGGATAGCTGAAAAGAGAAGTTCTACCAGAGCTTAATGTTATATAGATATTTACCAAAGCTAAATGTAAGTTCTGTAAAACATTTATAATATCAACAATGTGATATGGGAGTGAATGCTTGATCAGTAAAGTCCAAATATTCACAAGCTATGTTGCTCGGACTCTTCAAAATTTTCAATGGGTGAGTGTCAGATTCTCAAAAATAGTGTATTTTTGAAGAATCCGACAGGGGTGTGGCAACATTTTTGGATAGCTCGAGCGACATAGTCCACTAGATGA